CAGCCACGAGGGCGTGCAGGGCGAGCCTCGGCGCTGGCAAAGGGGATCGGCAGGGCTTGACCTGGCAATAATTGGGGGACCCCTCACTGGCCTCTGCCCCACCCCAGATCCAGAGGAAGGGGCGGGGATGGGGCCTGTGGGGACTGTGTCCTTGACCTTCAGGACAGACAGACTGACAGCCCCGTGGCCCCAGGGCAGCCTCACTCAGTGTTGGACTTTGTTCACTGTGCAGGGTTTGATCCCGTGGTGGAGAAGACGTGGAGCTGCTGGGACACCCGTGAGTCACGACAGGGCCGGCCGTGGTGTGGGGCCAACGCCCCTTTGGCTGTGGCGTGACTGGTGTCGGTGGTGGGCTGAAGGGACTGGACTGGACCTGAGGATGGACGGGAGCCGGGATTGCTTCCCTACGCTTGCGGGGTTTAAGATAAAAGTTGTTGGGCCTGTGCTTCCCCCACACGCTTAGTTCTCAAGCCATCACTGACTCTCATTTCTGTGACTCAAGTCCTGGAAAAGAAGAAAAAAAAGAAAGAGATGCTGGAATGGAACAGAGTCACAATGTAAAGAAAATGGTACAGATATTAAGGTTCTCTTAATTTATTGTCATATAAATTTATTGTCGTATAAATGGAACAGCCAGTGCTCACAGGTACTAAGTGTGCTGTGTGCCAATATAACCGTCACCAAAGCTTTAGATTCCAACTAAGTTAGTTGGCTTTTGGTTACTTTTTTTTCCTATAAAAAAAAAAAAGGACTCCGAATTTACTAAAGACTAATGTACTCATATAAAATCGTTTTGCCATGTTAGAAGACGAGTTTTGGGAAGAAGACATCTGGAAATACAAATCTAAAAGAAAACCAAAACCAGCACATCCAATTAATTGTTCTCAAAATATTTCAGAATCTGTTGGAAGAACAACAGATGGAAAACGGAAAGGAAACAAAAAAAGAAACGAGGAAGATAAAGACAAGACCAAGGACCACAGAGTATGCCTCGGAGAAGCGGACAGTCAGTCTTCTGTAGGTTCCAGTCAGAATTTAAGTGGTAGAGATGAGGTTCAGGAGTCTCAAAGCAAAGAGACTACCCCAAGAAAGCCCTGTAGAACTCACAAAAACAAACAGCTGTCCCCCAGGGTCCGCCCAGTTTATGATGGACACTGCCCAAGCTGCCAGATGCCCTTCTCATCACTGCTGGGTCAGACACCGCGATGGCACGTTTTCGAGTGTCTGGATTCTCCCCCAATCTCTGACACAGGTAAGCAGAGCCCCAGGGACGCTCCTGTTGCTGTCTCCTCAGTACTGGGGAGATAAGAGTGTCCAATCATGCCTGTGAGCTTATTGACGGGCTGGTAACCTGAACCCAGGTCCGTGTGTGCACAGGAGGTACCGCGTTGAAGGAGCCATCATCCCAGAGTCTCAGTTACTTTCCATAAATGTTCACTTTTGCCCTGCTTTCTCTTACTTTACTCTTACAAGGACTGTATAGGGTAGAGGGTATTAACATTTTATGGATGAGGATTCCTACAAGTTAGATAACTGGGCCGATTTGTTATCCTATTTTAGAATTGATAGAAATTATAAACACATTTGGTTTCTAAATATGGGCGTGTTGTATTCATCATTTGAGTTAGTACCAGGAAGAGGAACTACAAGGTAACCTGAGATGACTCAGATTCTCATAAACAGAAGTGATGCCATGTTTTTATTATATTTTATTTATTTATTATATTTTAAGATAAATGTCATATTTAACAAGTAGAGATTTTTACTGTGCCAGCGACAGAAGTGATGCCATGTTTTTATTATATTTTAAGATAAATGTCATATTTAACAAGTAGAGATTTTTACTTGGACTCTACAGAGAATTAGTTACGACTTTTTTTAAGCTAAAATTTTCTGGTGAAGAGAGGATTTGAAAAGAAATCTAAAAGTATTTGGTGTAAGTGTAATTAATAGTGCCTTATAAAACTATTTTGATTTAATTTTTGGTATTTTAATGTTGATCTTGACAACAGCTGTCATGCAGTTAGCCATGGCTATTGCCAGAGTTCTTAAAGGTGACCCATGGTGGCCTGGGCCGTAGTGGTGCACGCCTTTCATCCCAGCACTCTGGAGGCAGAGGCAGGCAGATCTCTGAGAGTTCTAAGATAGCCAGGGCTACAGAGGGAAACTGTCTCAAAAGCAAAATAAAATGATGACCCATGGTTTTTGTGCTTGGAAGTTACTTTATTAGGCTGTCAAAGTTTATTGTATAAAATGTTCTTTTTTTTTCTTCTTTAACTATTTTCAGAGTGTCCCGAGGGTCTTCTGTGTACCTCCACAATTCCTTCTCATTATAAGAAATACACTCACCTCCTGCTAGCTCAAAGTAGGGCCAGCAATGAGCCTTCCAGCAGCCCCTCACACATGCCCGCTGGACGTTTTACTGAGGCAAAGCCAGCCTCTTCTTGTAACCTTGAAGAAAGATGGCCTGTGCATCTGAAAGCTGAGAACTTAAGAGTTCTAGATGATTCTATGTTGATACAGTGTCTAAAAACATCTGCACTTCCACCTGAAACCAACAGAAAGAATCCCCCTTCCACAAATTCTCAAATGTCTCTAGTTCCACAATGTACAGAGCCTGTTAAGAAGGACAAGCTTGTGGGAGGTGGTTTGCCTCTCCCTGAGGATGCGTTAAGCAGTCAAAGCGCCTCACAGGGTACGAACTTGCCATCGCCAGAAAGTGACTGTGGTGGCTGTGAGATCTCCTATTCGCCATTGCAGAGTGATGAGGAGACTTACGACTTAGACCAAGAGCTGGACGATTCACAGCAGGAACTGTTTTGTACCCAAAGCTCTAAAGACAGCAGCCTAGAAGACGATGGTTCTCCCATATTTGAAAATTTTCATGATCCCTTCCCGAGGGAACCGGAGGGAGTCTTCCCGACGGCGGAAAGCCTGGTAACTCGGGCTGATTGCAACAGATTGTGTAAAGGCAGCGTGCTGAGTGATTCGTTTCAGCTTCTCTCCCAAACTGAGAGCAGACTTTCCCAAGATGACCCACCGAGCCCAGACGCTGGCTTTCTCCTGTTCTCACCTGCATCGGCAGCAGGGCCTGCTGCTTCTAATTATCAAGCCACTAAAGCAAAACCTGGGGAGCCAGAGGAATCCCGCTCACTTGGATCGAGTCATCAGAAAGGGAAAATGGCAACATCAGCTGTTGGCAGTCAGATTCCCCTGCCGTTACGTGCAAGTGCTATGTCGAAGCCAATGGAAAAGGAGGGAGGAGAGCACCAGCCTTTGCACCCAACCCAAAGTCAGATTGGGGGATTACGGAGAGAGAGCTTGGGTGCTACCATTGCTAACTCCGCCTGTGCCTGCAGAAAGGTAGAAAAGCCGTCTATTGCGGTTCTTGCCAAATCTTTGAGCCCATTGCCTTCCAGTCCCAAGTGCAGTGCAAGTCAGCCTTCTAAGAAAGTAATGAAGCAAATGGATATAGGTGTGGTTTTTGGACTACCCCCCAAAAGACAAGAGCCGTCACTGAGGGAAAGTGTTTCAGGAGAGCCGAATGTCAATCCAGTTGCTAGTCCTAACAAGAAGAGGCCCCGGCCATGCAAGAGGAAAGCAGAGAACTCCCTAAGTGACTCAGAATTGCACTCAGGGGATTTAAATGAGAGTCAGCACTCTATGGAACAGCCAGGAGAGAGGGCCCAACGTCGAAGAAAGAGACATAAAAAGTCAGATTCACCACAGCAGAGGTCTGGCCACCCCATAAACAATCCAGAGCTGGGAACAGTCAGTTTAAATAAGAGCAGAGCCTTCGGAAGGAGGACTCATGGCAGGCCACAGAGAGGGAGCACTGGCACCTCGAAGTGGTCCGGGAGCAGGGAATTGAGAAGAGCATGTCCCTTCTATAAGAGAATCCCCGGTAAGTTGAAATGCTAGCCTCAGCTTCTCAACGGAGACACCGAGTGTTTAGCTTCTCATTCCTTGTCATTGGGTAGATATGTTTGAAATAGTTCATATACAGCATATACAGAGAATCGGATGAGTGTCACCCTCACTGGGAATTCATGGCTTTGGAGTTCTAAACCGTTCCTAATTCAATGCTTTATAGAAATTAGAAATTTCAGTTGCCCCTTACGTATCAGTATTGCAAAAGTATTAGTTAGGACAAAGAAATGATTGGTTTGTAAATTAATGCCTTTTGACATTTTTTTTTTTTAATGAAATTGTCCACACATCTCTACACTGGGATGTTTAGTAGACACAGGGGTTGTGCTTGACTTTCGTAAATTTCCGTTTTTAATAAACCGTCTTGAAGCTGAGGGTTAAATGATAGTTGGGGCATAGAGAGGCCCCTGCTCATCCCACCTTGGGCATCTTGTTGCAGGAACTGGTTTTACTGTGGATGCTTTTCAGTATGGCGAGGTCGAGGGCTGCACTGCCTACTTCCTCACACACTTCCATTCAGACCACTATGCCGGCTTGTCTAAGGACTTCGAGCGGCCAATTTACTGTAGTGAGGTAAGTTAGTGTTCTAAAACTCTGTCTTTGTGGAATGTCTGACTTTGAGAAGCCTGTTTAAAAAAAAAAATAGACGATTGAAAACTAGAAGAGAAGATGGATAAAGCAGCTCCTTCGTCAGATTGTAAAATCCAATATGTCACTTCCCACACCTACAGCCTACTTCTACAAGCACGCATTTTATTATGTGGGAACAATAAATGATCTCACAGTATACTCGGCAGCCCAAGGTTCACTCAGGAAACATTCTTTGAGTGCCTGTGTACGTATAGAGGCAAAACACTTAGCTTTAGGGAGATTGTAGCTTCCAGGGATAACAGTCACAGATTCGACTAAGATGGGCTTAGTACTGTGACAGTGGACATTTTAATCCCGATGCCCAGGCGCCTTAAGGAGACATTGATTTCATACATTGTTCATGAAGTATCCTCTTTTCTTAGTGGGAAGGAATGGATGGGGGAGTTTGTGGAGAGGCACAGGCACCTCAGAAATGTGTATTTTAGGCTTTCAGACCGTTTAGACGATCTAGAACATACCACGAAAAAACACAGGATAAACTCACAGTAGTGCGCAGGGAGCAGGTGGAGAAGCATTTTCTGCTTTCTCCTGGGAATAGCGGCTTTCCCAGGTGATGAAAAGAAGAGTGACATGGCTGTCTCAGTGTGGAGAGTTCCCATGCATCAAAGCGGGGAAACAGATTATGGAGACAGCATGGTTCTTAACTGGTATGAAACACAACCCTGTGTTTTGCTGCACCAGTAACCCATTCGCCATACTGCAGATAACTGGCAATTTGGTGAAGAAGAAGCTTCGTGTGCAAGAACAATACATCCATCAGTTGCCGATGGACACTGAGTGCATAGTGGATGGTGTCAAAGTTGTTCTGCTGGATGCCAATCAGTAAGTATGGAGCCCCCTGTCTCCACTTGGTGCAGAAGGCAGTACAGCGTCTCATACAAGGCACCCATTGCAAACATTGTCCACACAGAGAACAGAGGCATGACTGTTTGAGAGCTTATAGCTAATGAACTTGGTTCTTAAACAGGAATAAATCCTTTTTCTACTTTTGAAAAAATAATTTTAGCATCAGATTAAATGTAGAGAGAGAATCTGTTATCTAACCCATGTTGTCAACCTATGTTGACTTATGACACTATATTCTTAAAAAATTCTTTTACTGTTCTTCAAAGATGAAGTTTTCTATTTTAATAGAATTTACATAAAGTAAAATCTTATATTCATTGGATACTAGAAGATTGTGCCTTGCTCCCCACCCTAAGCTAAATGATCTTAAACTAAAAAAGGAATTATTCCATTTTAGACTCTATAAAGATTTGGAAGGTGTCTTTTTCCATTGAAGCAGGTGTTTTTCTCTGTGTCTGTTGCTGTCCCCCATCTCCTCCTCTGTCTTCTCTTCCCTCCCTCTGTATCTTTCTCCATCTCCATATGTTGTAATGATAAGTCTTTACTCCATCCACCTGAGCCCCGCCAACACGTGGGCACCCAGAATAACACACAGAGTCTTATATTAGTTTACAATGCTGCTGGCCAATTGACTAAGATTTCTTATATGCTAGCTCAGTCTTAATTATCATAAATCTATATATTTTATAAGACTTATCTTAATCAAGGGTGCCTTCCACTGGTGTCCTCTTCCTGGGATCACATGGCAGCTCCATAGAGAAGAGAGCAGGAGGAAGAGCAAAAGAGCTGTTTCCTCTTTGTCCCTGCTTATATTCTGAGTCTGCCTGCTATGTCACTTCCTGCCTGGATCACAAGACTTCTTTACTACGTTTCCCAGAATCCTCCTCGATTCCTAGTCCCACCTGTCTTGCTTTCTTATTGGCCAACAGTGCTTTATTCATCAACCAATAAGACAAACATATACACAGAAGGACCTCCCCCACCAATATGTCCCCCATTTTAAGTTCTGTCAGGCTCCATATTGCCCAAACACAGCGACCACTATGCTTCTCTCTTGGATGTGAGCCTGTTCCCTAGAGATCGTTTGCATTTGGAGAAAGAAGAAAGGCTACACCTAGATTTGCTGAAGTCCAGGCCAATATTACCATGTTAGATTCTTAAAAAAAAAAATGTTGTCTTCTCACTTTTGCTAATATTCCCCTTTTTTCATTGCTGGTTTTGAGTTCTGATATTTTCTGGAGTTAATGTTATTGAACTATAGGCTTGGGCAGCCTCCCCGGCAGCCGTGCTCAGCTCTAAAGTTCATCCTCCCATTGATGCTGAGAGAAGAGCCTGGCTCCAAGGGCCCTGTCTGTCTCGGCACGCTCCTTAGATGCTTGTCTCCAGCTGTCCAGGTGCTTCCATGATCCTTTTCCGTCCTCCTAACGGCGCCGCCATACTGCACACTGGAGACTTCCGAGCCGACCCCAGCATGGAGCGCTCCCTTCTCGCAGGCCAGAAAGTCCACACGCTCTACTTAGACACCACGTAAGACATGCCTTCTGAGTTCTCTCTTCCCCCCACCCCCGAGAGCTTTGCTCTGCATTTTATGGGTAATTTAAGCTTTTGCTTAGATAATTAAATGATGGTTTACAGCCAATTGTTTTTAAGACTATTCACCAAAAGGATGCCATTCAAAAATATACCTGCTGCCAGGCCGTGGTGGCGCACCCCTTTAACCCCAGCACTCAAGAGGCAGAGGCGGGGGATCTCTGTGAGTTCGAGGCCAGCCTGTTCTACATGGTGAGCTCCAGGACAGCCAGGGCTACACAGAGAAACCCTGTCCCCAAAAAACATATTATATGCATATATCTGATAAAAGACAAATTTTAAATTATGTTATAATTTTTTGTTATTTTATTCTTGAAAATGTTTATAGGATACTCCTGTTACTAAAAAAAAAAAAAAAAAAAAAAAAATTGGGGGAACAGATTTTAAGAAAATACCCTTTAAATTGTTCTTTTCTGACATGTCCATTAGCTATGGATAGAGGCTACAATGCAGTTTTGTTTATGACTATTGGAATTACTTTTGTTCATTTCTTTTTTATTTAATAATTACTACTCATATTTACAAATCCATCCTCCCCATTCCCTCGCCCTCCCATCCTCCCATGTTCCCCACCAACCCCCCCCCAGCCTATCCCCAAACTCCTCCCCAGGCATCGTGAGGCCCTCCACCAGGGACCTTCAAAGTCTGTCATCATTTGGGGGAAGGCCTAGGCCCTCCTTGCTGTATCTGGGCTGCAAT